TATAGTACAGAGGCAAAAGAGAATGAACATAATTAGCACTTAGAAAGAAAAATTATTTAGACAAACTATAGGGAAAAAGCTTTCCTGAAATAAAGACTGAAATGTGGAACAAAAACACACAGAGTCCCCAGAATCTCTTGCTTTATTCAACACTGTCTAAATTTCAATAATCTCTCCAGTTTTACCCTAGTATTTTTAATCTTAAATTTAGACAAAGGTAGAGTCAATGTTTTTCTTTTATTATTTAACAATATTCATTTATGAAATATTTGGCTCCTAAATTTATAAAACTGCCTTTTAATCAATCACTCACTCTACTCTTCTATACAACCATATCTATACAGAAGTATCTGGCCTGACATTCATGAAATATTAACACTTTCTTGGGGGTGGGATTTTGAGATTGTTTTTAAATTTCTGTAATGCCTATCTTCATTTTTAACAATTATGTATCATTGTAACAAATGACAATGAAGTCACTGGGATTTAAAAGAAGAAATGAAATGCCAAGATTAACAGAGAGAAAAGAAAAATGAGACCTCTCGATTCTTGTATGATCTCCAGATCTGTGGCCCTCTGTTCCATAGCTCATACAGCAATCAAGTGAGTTCTCTAAAACAGAAGCATAGCATATTCATTTTCATCTTACTATCTTGCAAGGTCTTCAATAAATTGCCACTAGTCCAGGATCAAGTCTAATTTCTTTAGTAATTTACACAAAACTCTCTAATCCAGCTCCAGCAGGTCTTTCCAGCATCACCATCTTTCACTTCCCTGAATTCACCTTCCCTCCTACTGCTTGGAATAATTTGTAGTAAGAGTTCTTCATGCTTCAGGAGGTGGTAAAAATGTGCTCTTGTTTGTTTGTTTGTTTGCGGAAGTCAGCAGAGGGGCTGAAACTCCAAATTATTCCACACAATTCAGTTCAAAATCATCTCTGTGAAGCCTTCCCTGCCATCGCTCTTTTTCCTCCTCATAAACAAAGTTATAAAATTACGTGTATCATTTTCCACCCTCTGAATCAGTGCCAAGCTGAACAATATTAAAGCCTGATGCAAAAGAAAAAAATATGTTAATACTAATCTTATATTTATTTAAAATTTAGGTATTTTGTTAATCATAAATTTTTGTGTGAATTTTGATTTTTAAAAATATTCTTTCAAAATATTATTTATCTTGATTATTAAGGTTTTTGATGCCCCTCTATATTTTTTGTGCTTTAGGTGAGGGTTCACTCATATCACCCTAGTCTTAGTCTACTCTGTAGTGCTGAAGCACTTATTACGCTCTATAGTTACCTTGTCTACACATCTATTATCACTACCAGACTGGGACCACATAAAAGGAAAGGAACCAGTTTCAGTTCTCTGTGTATATCTGAAAATGAGCATAGTACCTAATATGGAGCAGGAACCCAGTTAGTAAGGATGAATAAATACCCAGACAAGAGAAATAACCAAATTCTTTAAAGAATAAAATCTTCCACCCGGGGAAAAAAAGCCTAATCTAAATGGAGATGGGTGTTTGTTTGTTTGTTTGTTTTAGCTTTGTTTTCTTAAGGTTAGGGAACCTTAGCTTGAATCAAGTCATGAGCTTAAAGTAATTAGGCAGTGAAACTAAAATCAGGTTTTTTTCCCCATGAACATCTATCTGTGGTACAAAGTTTTGAGTGTATCTATTCCAAGAAATGCCTGTATTTAGCCTACTATGAGAATCAGAAAATATTAAAATTAAAATAAAGTTTAGGTAATATTTAATCTTCCCACCCTCTTATAAATAAGGAATCAAGCCTAGCAAGGTTAAGTGACTCCTTTAAAATCACAAGAGAGTCAGAACTTGAAATGAGGTCATTCATTTCTCCACCTGGTGTTTTTCACTGGAGGTTATTGACCGATCTAGAAGAGGGGACCGTTGGAAAACAGTGAGTGAGGAGTGGGGATTTTTTCTAGGTCAGGCAGAATTGACCAGCTCATGGGTAAAATAAACCACAAATTTTTTACTTATGGCTTGAAACATGGTCACTGTTAAGGTGAAGTGATGGAAAAATGACCTTTCAAAGTTAATTCTGGCCCCTTGCTTTTGTCTTTGTCACCCGCCTCTCTGTGATTCATTTTCATCGGTAAGAGAGTGGCTCTACTTTACACCGACTCTAATTCAAGATTTGTGGGGTGCGATATAAAACATACACTATTCAAATACTCTGTATATGAGCAAATGCAAGTCATTTTTAACTGCAGATTAATCATATAAATACACTATTATACTCGGTCATGCCTGGAGTAAATTGGAAGTAATTACGTATAAGGTCCCACTTGGAGTTGAAAGCTAGGATATAGATACTGGTACTGAAAAAGACAGTTCTGAATTTCATCTTTAAAAGATAAGACATACATAGTTACCATTCTCAGCCAGAATTCTTCTTCACAAATTGCCAAGACTTTGAGCTCTCCTAATGACTCTTGTAAGATTTGCTAATAGTAAAAAGTGACTGGTTCTTCACAAAAGTGTTTTATTTAACATAGCTCTAAGTTATTGGGAAGATAGCAATGATGACCAAAATAAAAAATGTAGTCATGACTTGATGTGATGAAATTCAGTTAGGGAAAATAAACTATGCATGATTATTATTAGTATCATTTTGTGCAAATGAAATAATTCCTTTTTTACTAATGATTAGACTTTCTGGTCAATTTATTCTTCATACTAACAATTAAGAATTCCTTAGTTAATTTTGCCCTTTCTCTTCATTTGGCCACCTGATTTATTTTAAAATCTTCCTCATATGCAAAGAAGAATACTATGGGTTCACCTGGATCCCTAGGCTGCAAATCTAATATCACTAATTTTTACCCCTTTAAAATCTGTAGAATTTATAGAAGAATTTCTTTTTTAAAAAGGAAAGAAGCCAGTAAGATATTTCTTAAGAATAGGCCAATGGATAAGCAAGGAGTATATTCCTCAGTAAAGAAATAAGGTCATTTCATTGGAATAACAAGCAATCATAGCTTCCAACAATAATTTCAAGCATTGTCCTCAAGGCTAGAAATCTACTCACATTCATAAAATAACTTATGATAAGCTTTTTTTTGTACAAGTACTCTTTATTAAACATATACATATATACAAATTTTATTTGGCCTCATATTACTAGCATCAATTTATAAGTGAGGACTTGGATTGGATGATTTTAAAAGCATCTTTCAGCCTTAAAATTGTTAGTGATTCTAGGACATACCTAGAGTGATAGCCAAAAAGGAATTCTCAGATATGACTCACAATTAATATTTGGCATTTGCACATTTTATAGTTCTCATATACAACCATTCCAAGGCAATGCAATAACTGAAAAACTAATGGCAATTATTTAATGTCATTTCTTTTCTAAAAAATAAGAGATTCTGCTTAGAAGGTGGTCATTTTTATCAAAATGTTCCCCCAAACATCCGGAACACATTCATTCACACAACCCAGATCAGGAAGAAAGAAATATAGAAGAAAAATCTGGAAGCAACACAACAAAAAACTAGACCTAGATTTAGTGTCATAAGACAGCTGCAAGAAATTCAATTAAGTTGTTAAGCCTAAGTAATGAAAAAGAAAAGTTAGTACATGAAAACCCTGATAAATTCTTTACCAGAGTCAGTAGAATCTTACCCCTTGGCTATGATCTTTCTTCTTTACTCCATTCCTTTGCTGCTCTTTTGATTTTAAAATACTCACCTTCGTTATGAAACCATACAAAAACTGCCCTCCCCCAAAACACTAAACTTCCCAGAAATACAAAACTACTGACACAAAAACTTTCCAGAAGATTAGCATTTCATCAGCCATATAGACCTATGTTGGGAAAAACATCTAAAAGGCCTTGTATTGAGTTCCTAATTCTGATGAGTTAATGGTTCTGATCAAATTCTATCCTACTATTCTGATCAAATTTGAGACAGATAATTGATATGACCTTATAGTGCCCAGATTTCTTCTCTTAGGTACACAGTGTTTCTTATTTAGAGAACAATCTGTACACATTTTCATTATATTTTGAAGTCAATTGCTGAAGCTGTGCTGTGTTACCTGCTATAATATAGGAGAAACAAATATTTTCAATATGCTCTCAGACTCTAAATAAATTTCTTCCATTAAAGAATGCAATGTCCTCTGCTAGTTTATGGTTCGTTAGCATGCACTGATTGTTCTACTATTCAAGTAATAGCGTAGATAAAGGTGAAAGAGCTTTCCTAGAGAGAGTGTCTAGCTTAGTGCCTGGAACACAGTAGGCTCTGAATAACTATGTGTTAAAGAATACATAACTGAATGAACTACTGTCGAAAAGAATTCATACAATGAGTTAAACTTTGGCTCAAAGCACAGATTTTCAAGTCAAGTGTTAAGTCCTGTTTGGCCAACGTAAGACAGGGAACACATCTTCCCTGGTCTCTGTTTTTGTTTTTGATGCAGCAGAGGTTTCACTCATTGGTCAGTATTTGTTTTGTTCCATTTCCTTTTAAAAATGTTTCATTTAACAAGAAAAGTCCTTTTCTTGCAGATACTAGAAGGATCTCCAAAGGTCACCTCATATGATATCCGATAAACAATTCTGATTAAGGGCAGTGCCACTGGGAATTTAGGGTGGTTGGTTGGTATTCATAGTGTATATGAAAAAATGTCGTAGTCTGTTTTCAAATTTGAGTGTGTAAGTATGTACTACGTATCTCTAGCAGCCCTATTTCTCTTGTCCCAACTTTCCAGGATGGTCTGCAATTCATCTAATTTGAATGCTGAACTGACTCTATTCAAAGCATTTTTCTGCAGTGAAAGATGGCTCACTCTCTCTTCACTGAGGAATGAATTAACTCTCCCAATAACTGGCTTGAATTTTTTCAATGTAAAAATTACATAGACTTTTTATTTTAATAAAGAACAATGGTTTATCTTTAAAAACATTTAAAAAGGCATTCTGCATTAAGTTCATCATCTTTTAGGAAACTACTCTAGCAACAAAATTACATTAGACTTTCTGATTTCTCCATAGTGTCCTTAGATAAATAAACAACCCAATAGACCATGTTAAATGCCCCAAATGTTACTGGAAAGAGAATGCGGGCATATTTGTCTATTTTGCTTGTGCCAGATCCAGGCGGTGGTGGAGCAGAGGGAGGAGTGGTGGCTGCCAACTTCCCAGGAGCCCCTATGGTATTAACGGTGGTCTTAATTCGCTCCAGTCTCGATCCGAACACACGGTGAGTAGAAGCAGATCCAACGGAAGCCTGTTGGGACACATACCCAGTTCTACGAGGAGTAGAAGGAGGAGCAGATAGAGGTGCCCTTGCAGCAGATATCGTTTCCGCTGCATTTGCATGGCTGAATGGGTTCGGACTGGAAGCTAAGTAAGACTTCGATGTGGCTTCAGAAGATCCTTGAAGAACTGTGGAAGATTTGCTCGAATGGTTTCCCACCTCAGTTCTGTTGCCAACATCAGATTCAGAGTGAACCGAGGCATTTGATCTTTTCCTCATGTTCAGACTGGCATTTGTGTTCTGAAAGGGTATATTAAAAATTACACTGATTATGTCATTTTATGTAGATGTATATGAAATTTAAAGGGATCAAATAATTAAAATTCATTGCTTCTATAAAATAAGCTGTTATTAATATGCTCTAGCCACCCAGCTTGATGTAAAAGCTTAAAAATACCTAACTAAAAAAGAACATGAATCTATTTGAAACTCTGAATCAAAAATCTTCTATTTCAAAATATTGTCCACTTTTATAAGTAATCAGAATTTAAATCTATAGAAAGATTTGGCTTTTAGAACTATAAACTAGACTTATGCTTGATTTAATTTTAGGAGTCCATGATGATAGCAGTACAACTTCTTTGTTTAGTTTTATTGTAAATCATATTCTGTGATAGGTTGTATATCCTTCAGTGAGTTTTACATATGTTTTTTTTTTATAAACAGGAGGAACTGTACTTACTCTTGTGAACAGAATAACAATAATAACCATCTATATGTGCACGACATTCCTTAAAAAAAGCAAACTCCAAAAGCTTAAATTTCCAAAACCCTGAAATTTATTTTCATAATCTTACATAGGCAATAATACACATTATTATAAAATCTGGCAATCCTAATGCATTTTATTTTTTCATCACAATAATAAAAATGCAAAGGAGCATTAATTTTAAATAAATGTTATAGTAGACATAAAAACAGCATCACCATACCATTGCATAAATATCTGAATTCAAACTACTTACCAAGAAAGGGTGTTTAAATCAAAATGGAACTCACTATTTTCCATCAAATTACTTTATGTGTAGAACAAGACTATACTTGAATACAGATGCATGATAAAGATTAAAATTAATTCTCCTTATATTCTGGCAGGCATGATAAATAACTGGATAGCTAACTATAGATTGTCCATGCTAATGAAGGAAAGCAATGCTCAAATGATTCCCCAAATAGTCATGTCTGTCTTTAGAATATACCACGATTTTTTTGTAAAAACATTTCTTCCTTAATTATGTTTATCCTAAGCTGCCTTAGGATAGTTGCCTTCTATACCCTCTCCCCTTACCATTTTATGAAATACATGGTAAGTGAGGAGATGAAGAAGGAGAGGAAGGAGACCAGCGCACAAGTGGGTGATTAGAAGGAGCCAGCCTACAGGAATATCACAGATAATATCATATACAATTGACTGACAGCTCATTTTACAGAGACATGTTTATTCTACAAATATAATCCTTTTTCAAAACCACACCCATCAAGTAGGTTGAAAGTGTTTAATCCGTATCTAATGTATTTGTGGATTATGACTTCAAATTTGCTAAGTAGAGAAAGAATAAAAGCCTCACAAAATATAGAGCCAAAGTAAGATATGAGAGGTTTAGAAAGTATTCTTTATGTCCGTCTGGAGTATTCTCCTAGGCAGGTTCAGTTGAACTCATGAGAAATTGTAGTCTGACATGTGGCACCTAATTTTGGTGGAGACAGTTGAAACTAAAATTGACATCAACATAAAAGCTAAAGATACCATTATTTACCCTGAAATTTTCCTCTACAAAGCACATTGTAAATGTCAATTAATCCTCAGATTTTGAGTCCTTTTTTACAGAATGGAATAATAGTTAATCGGTTAACATTAATTTTGAAATGTCATACACACAGTGAAGAATATAAACAAGAAGGTATATCCACATTTAAAGAGCTTACGCGATCATTGACAAGATGCATACCCACACACATGATTCAAAGTAAAATATAGTGAATGTCAAACAAGTAAAATGCTCAACATACTAAGAAGAGAAGGGAAGAGAGGAATAGCAGACCAATTAAACAAGCAGGAAAGAAACATGTTTTCAAATATAATCTGATATTTGCATACTGCTTTCTTCCACAAAACGTTAGGCTGCCCGTAATCTTTAGAAACTCGTATTTTCCCCAAAACTAAATTCTAAGAATCAGAGACTTCCACTTCTGGCCAAAATTGAGTTAAAGGGACTAAATTTACTCTCCTGTATGAAATGACAGGGAAAAAAAAAAAAACTGGACAAAACATGTGAAGCAATTGTTTTGGTTTTTTTTCAAAGATTTTATTTATTTATTTGAGAGAGAGAGAGCACACAAGCAGGAGGAGGGGCAGAGGGAGAAAAAAGCAGACTCCCTGCTGAGCAGGGAGCCTGATGCAGGGCTTGATCCCAGGACCCTGTGATCATGACCCCACCCGAAGGCAAACGCTTAACCGACTGAGCCACCCAGGCACCCAAAGCAATTGTCTTTTGAAGACACTGAGCATTAGACAACATAGAACCATAATCTTTGAGAGAGAAGAAACAAACTTGAAAGCAAATCCATGCTGTAGAACAGGAAAGGAGAATCCAGGAGAAATACGACAGATTCCCTGAATTGAGGACCTGAGCTGAGAATCTGGGGAAGTCAAGGTGGCTAGCATTTATAGGAAAAAGTAACAGGCAAGTGTATGCTAAAAAAGGTGAGAGAGAGAGAGAGAGAGAGAGAGAGAGAGAGAGAGAGAGTATACTCCAAAAATCTGAGTCTCCATTGACTATTGCGCTAAGCCCAGATCAGTTTATGAGTATGAAGCACTACCCAAGGCTGCAAAAACAACCCCCTAAAAGGATTAGAAGAAACAGTACTTGGAACACACAAAACTAGGGATAATGCATGTTCCCACCAGCCAGACTGTAAAATCTCACCATTCGTGTAGCGTTTGGTAGAGTACGAAGAAGGACCTTGCTTCAGTAATATGGAATAATTAGCCCTAAACACAGCTCTAGTCCTGCTGAATGAATTTTAAAAGTAAGAACTGAAAGGATGAAATTAACTCTAAGTGACTTAGGTGGGCCCCAGAAAAAAGTACAAGAACATTTACAGGATCTGTCTTCTTTCCCTCTAGGTCTGCAACTTTCTGCAACTTCCTGAAATCCCAACTGTGAATCATGTTCTATATCGTTGATTAAATACAGAAATTGCAACAAATTTTCCTCCTTCTCCATATTCATATTCATGCCCCCTTGTGACATGAATGTCCCACTCCTCTCCCATCAAGAGATGGAGTTTTTTTCCCTACAGGCTTCCTTATAACTTTCTCTGGCCAACAGTATGTGGTGGACATGATGGGTGTGTCATTTTTGTCTTAGCCTTAAGAGTTCTTGCTTGCTTCCACTCTCTCTCAAAACACTGCCATCAACACCACTAGAACAAGCTAGGACTAAACTGCTAAAAAGATCCTTTGGAGCAGAGCCAGTCATCCCAGTGAGGCTATCCTAGGTCACCCAACAGTTAGCTGATCACTAGACACATGAATCTGTCCCAGCTAAGAGAGGATGAACTGCCCAGCCAAGCCTAATCAAGATCAACAGAACTTCTCAGTTAACCCATAGACTTGAAAGCAAAATTAAATGTTTATTGTATGCCACTGAAATTTTGTACTTGTTTGTTATGTAGTATTGTTGCGGCTCTAGATAACATATATAGTCCAATTAAATCAAGGGTCCTAACAGAAGATATTGCCAAACTTATTGTGAGGCGGGGAGTTCTCAAACATTCTGGGGTAAGTAGAAGGCTGACCTGCCCAGAATTCATCGAAGACCATTAGGAGGCCCTGTTGACTAACTCCATATATTAGCTAAAGGACCAAGATATTTTGCCCTTTATAATCCCATTCTTAAAGAATAACAGTATTTTAAAACTGGGAGAAATTCTAAAATTCCAGCTCCCCATTTTAGGTGTAGAGGAAAGTAAGAACAATAGAGGTTATGATTGGCTTGAAGTCATACAGCGAGTTACTTACAGAGTGTTTTGCCATGTTATATAGCCTCTTGATAAACAAATGCAGAGGAGCCATTAAAGAACTTAATAAACAACACCTATCTATTTGAGGCAGTTAAGTATTTGTAATAGTTAAGTACGTTGTTAGAAACTGATTAAAGACTTGGAAATCAGAAAAGAGTACAGCATGTCCTTTCAATGTCACAGTGGGGCATTGTTTAACAAGTCCACCTGAGGATTATTAAGCTTGTAGGGAAACTCACTTGAGTGTGATTTTGCTATTTAATATTGGATTTGAGTGCAAACACTGTGAAGTTACGTGTTAACTTGTGGTTTCCTGTCCAGTAGAAGAGACCACCAAAGGTTGTTATGGTTTGGTTGCCCTGTAGGATATTAATCACTTCTATATCATACCTAGTATTTATTGTAGTACTCCATTTTTTTAAATGGCTACTTATAATCATTAAGAAGATTTTGAACCTGTTTTACCATTTATGTGGTTCCCTCATTAATTAATGAGTTGGATAAAACTTCGGCAGATGTCCATTCCATATTTGTATGATTTCTCTTTTTGATGGTTTGAAAATTATATTCTGACTGGATATACTATATATTCTCACAACATCTACTATTAGACAAGTTATAAATATCGAAGAAATTAAGCATAGACTTGAAGAACACACCTGGAGAAAGAAAGTGATCCCAAGCCAAAGAGATAGGATCCATCTAAGGTGATTGGAAAAAAAGAACCAAAGAAGCAAGAGACTTCATGAAAATGGAGGGAGTGGTATGAAGTGTGCCACTAGGATTACCACTCCACAAAAGATCAAATCTTTTTATTCTCGGTTTAAAACTATTAGTAAGCTTCTAGAGTACAAATACTATCTTATTAATCACTCTAGGAGAATGCACACATCAGGCACCTACTTCGTTTTTTAATACATTTCATTGAAACAGATATATTAAGGAATCAAGGTTCTTTTTCAAATTAAAAAAAATGAAGAGAAAATGTCAAAAATCTGGCCTCCAGATAACCATTCCTTTGTTGATGGGGCAGATTTCTAGAATGTTGCAGACAGTGCCTAAGGTGTATGTTACCTTGATGCAATCCCAAGTCTGACTAAAATTGCCTAACGAGTCTCAGTACTCTATATATCAGAACCCACATAAAGGAAAGCAGAATTAGACTGATTTGCGGCTTAAATCTTTGCTTCCTGTCAAGCAGCCAAATGATAAGA